CCTAGCCTTTTGGAAATGGTGGAAGAGATCCCAGAGCCCACATATCATAAATAGCAGACTGATATACTTTGGGGAACGATTTTCTTCATCCACAATTTGAAACATGGCGCCCTCCAAAGGGCTTAACTTCTTAAATAGCCTAGGACTGGAGTATTACAATTAGGGTTAAGCACAATAGATGTTCTTAGGTCGCAGAGCGAGTATCCCTGACGAATAATAATAATAATATATATGTCGTCACCTGAAATGCAAAAAGACGTAACAACATCGCAACTGAAGTGGAAAAAGTTATGACTCAAAATTATAATTTTTTTCATTAAATGATGTGGGAGTTGTAATTCGATGAAATCCATCATATCAATAAAAAACTGAATTTTGAATTTTTTATTAGTTACGACTTTTTGAATTTCAGCGACGATGTTTGTTACGTCTTTTTGCATTTCCAGTGACGATGTGTAAAGAGACAAAAATTTGTGTAAATCTGTACTGTAAAATTAATTGTTATACATAGTTAACTTGTTTTTGTTGTACTAGCCGTGTTTTTTGGATTTACGAAATGTTGTTACCTACATTTTTAATAAACTTGACGTTGGAAAAAACTAATAAAAAACTTAAAAAATTTTTGGTAGGTTTTGGTTGGTCTTGGTAGGATCTTTTTGTAGGAAAAAAAATTTGTTCGTGGCAACACTGGAAACAGGCATAAGTATCGTTCCATCAAAATTACCCTAAGTATTGTCAAGGAAGGGTAAAAGGCAGATTGGTAGCCTTACTTCTGCAGAGAGAGGATCTACGATCACAAGTGGTGTTTGTATGAGTGCAGGTGGAGTACNTGTCAAGGAAGGGTAAAAGGCAGATTGGTAGCCTTACTTCTGCAGAGAGAGGATCTACGATCACAAGTGTTGTTTGTATGAGTGCAGGTGGAGTACTTGTTCCACCACTATTTATATTTCCACGCAAGAAACGCTCAGATTTGTTGTTAAAAGGAGCGCCGCCAGTATCAATATACGAATGTCATCAATCCGGTTGGGTTCACATATTTTTACAATATGGTTTCAGCACTTCATAAAACACGTAAAACCATCAGCTGGTTCACCAGTATTGCTCGTCTTGGATGGTCATTCGAGTCATACAAGAAATATTGAGCTTGTTGATTTGGCTAGGGAAAATCACGTATCTATCGTATCCATCCCTCCACACTCAAGTCACAAAATACAGCCGCTTGATAAAAACTTTCATGGGACCTCTTAAGAGTTATCTTGCGGAAGAAATACGTGTTTGGATGCGTTCGAACGGCAGAGATTTGACACACTTCGATATGGCAGAGCTTTATGGAAAGGCCTATTTGCGAGTTCAAAGTGGGGAAATCGCAATTAATGGATTTCGCACAACCGGTATATTTTTAGCTGCCGATGATGTAGCATCGCATTCTCCTCCTCGAGAGTCTGAAAGTACTTATGAAGTACCAGAGGAAATACTAAATAACGAAATCATTGTAGAGTGTCCGCATCCAAAAAACGATATTTGTAATGGAAATTTAAGTCGCTCAGTTCTAAGCGTATCAGAAACCACGTCTATGGTAATAACACCGATTGAAATATCTCCGGTTCCTATAAAAAAAAACGAAGCTTTCCAATCGTGGCAGGCCAGCAGGAAAGGCCACGTTGATAACATCTTCACCTTATAAAAAATCTTTAAAAATTTCGTTGAAGAAAGCATCGGAAAAAGACCTCTAAGAAAAACCAACAGACGCCAGTTTATTTATTTTAATGGACCCAGCACCTCCAAGGGAATTATTAAAAAACTAAATTTTGCAAAAGAAAAGTGTACAGGTAAGACTGCTTAAATAAAGATTTTGACTAACTTTTTAAAACTTTCGTGCTCTGTTTTCATTCAAGAACCCAAAAAACACCAAGATAATTCTAATCAACCCAGCACTTCTAAAGCACTTATGAAAAAAATTAATTCAGAAATAGAAAAATGTGCAGGTAAAGTTACTGAAATCAAGGTTTTGATTTGACATTTCTAGATATCATTTCATTCTTTATTTTCAATTCAGGAGAAAGGAATAAAACAAATTCCTCATCCTCTTCGGACTTGGATGGCAATTACAGTGTCCGTGACGAATCTGACGGCGAAATTCTAGAATTTGTAAACGCAGCTGAGAGATCGGTCTGGTGAAATATGGGTTCAATGTGTCTCTTGCAAAAATTGGAGCCATGAGGAATGTGCTGGTTGTGAACAAAAGCTCTTTATATGGGACGTGTGTACACAATAATCACTTGGGCAAATATGGACTACCTGGTCCATGTTACCCATAGGGATGAAACGATACCATAGAAGTATCGATACTTGTACTTGGAAGTAGCATCGAAAGAAAGTATCGGGATAAAAGTATCGATACCTACTTATATCGATATTTGTACCTATATAAGAACTGACATATGTTTATTTTTGTTTGTATTAAAAAACGCTTAAACAATTAACTTATGTGATTTTCATTATTGATTTTAGATTAATCTTTTAGATTTTTTTAAGAAAAACTTCCAAGTTTTAAAACAAGTTTTACTAGAATGGACCCTCAAAAAACCAGAAAAAGAATAAAGTCCAATAAATTGTTTTTAAAAAGTATACAGAATTTGCTTCTTTTTATGTACGTATTATATTTGTTTGTATTTATTTCATACAAATTAATTAATTAATAAAAAATATCTGTATTATAACACTGTTCAACAGCATTTTTGCAGAGTAACAGTGCTATATTTCTGAAAGAAGTTATCATGTTGATCATTTCTAATGAGACGATAATAGGTCTTTCTTTGTACAAAGCAACCTTTTCTTCTACATCAAAGCTCGATCTCCGATTGTATTTCTGCCATGAAAAACAGCTTCTCATAAAATACAATCGCCGTTCGGAGTCGGCGTAAAACTGTAGGTCCCTCCGCTTTGTGTGACAATATCAAGGCGCACACCACAAGTTGGAGGAGAAGCTCGGCCAAACACTAACATACATAAGTGTAAGCGCCAATCTATTATTATTATTATTCCTCTAACGGATTGGATTTTAAAGAGCAGACGGGGTTTGATAATTAAAGCTACAACTCATCACCTTTTGTAGAGTGTTTTCGTTTTTGTCCAATCGCAAGCTTTTTATGTTGGTACCAAAAGTCAAAATCTTCTTTAACAACGTCTTCTTCGGAGCTGGTGATCGAGGATAGTTCCTAAAGCTGCGTAGGTGTTGTGTTCAATGAGACCAAATCTTTTACTACACTCCGCCAGGAGTTTCGTTTGTAGTTGGGTGACACAATCAAGAGTTGTAGAAAATTTACTCACTTGAGATGTTAGGCAGTTAACCATAGGTATAATCTTGGAAAGTGTGACATACAGGCCTGTCATGGAATCCAAGTCGGTTTTGCTTTTCGTCGGAATTACAAACCAATATTGGTTTCATTTGGTGTCATGAAACCGGATTAGTTTTGCTCTTTTCGAACATAAACAAAACCGATGTTCGAATCAGCTGTTTTGCACATTTGTGTGTATGGCGGCAATTTGAATGTACAGTTTTTTGACACAATTTTATAAAATTGAATTGTTTTCATTAATTTAAATAAAAATGAGTAAGCCCAAAATGACATTCGCAGTTGTCGCATTTCTCTTATTGGAAGAAGAAAGTTCCGAGAAAGTTAAAAGAAAAATTTTGAGAGATTGCAGCAATCCACTTGAGCTGCCCGAGACAGCGTAAGTATATTGTTTTTTAATGTGCGTTTATAAATATTTATAGCGTATTTGCAGTTTCATAGCACATTATCGCCTAAAGAAAGAGGCTTTCCGAATGGTGCTTGACACCATTGAAGGGCACTTGACACGTTCGAAAGTTCCACCAGTGCTGCAGTTAAAGCGCAGTTAGTCAACGACGTAGCGTAAACGTAGGTTGACGTACGTAGCAGCATATCAAATTTGCTGTTGATAGAGAGAGAGAGAGAAGCAACGGCAACGTCAGCACCATGCGGTGGTGAGTTTTCGTTAACACGCGAATCTCATAAGGTAGATCGTGTCTGCGTCAACATACGTCTACGTTACGTCGTTGACTAACTGCGCTTTTAGCAGCTTTGTTGCGATTTTTAGCTGAAGGATCCTATCAAAGATCAGTCGGGAACGATTCTAGCATAAGTGTAGCTAGAAGCACGGTGTCAACGATTTTAGATTGTGTGCTTAAGGTTATGGAGCGGTTCATTTGCCTTCAGTGGGTGAAACTAGAAATGGACGGCACCGAAAAACACAGATGAAGAGACTATTTTTACTTAAAGTACAAAATTCCCTCAATGATTGGTTGCATCGGCGGGACACACATAAAAATCATCAAGCCGAGTATGGACGAACATTTGTTTTATAATCGAAAGGGATATTTCAGTAGGAATGCCATGATTGTAAGTAATCATGAATCTTCATTTTACTCGTACATTGCCTTGTAAAACTGATTTATATATATGTAAGTACATTTTTATTTAGATTTGTGATGGTGACATGAAAATTCGAGCGGTCGATGCACGCTATCCCGGCTCTAGCCATGACTCATTCGTATGGAACGTTAGTAGCGCCAGACAATATTTCCTCAGGAAGTATGAGTCAGGTGACCGGACATCAAAGTTATTAACAGATTGTTANATATTTATAGCGTATTTGCAGTTTCATAGCACATTATCGCCTAAAGAAAGAGGCTTTCCGAATGGTGCTTGACACCATTGAAGGGCACTTGACACGTTCGAAAGTTCCACCAGTGCTGCAGTTAAAGCGCAGTTAGTCAACGACGTAGCGTAAACGTAGGTTGACGTACGTAGCAGCATATCAAATTTGCTGTTGATAGAGAGAGAGAGAGAAGCAACGGCAACGTCAGCACCATGCGGTGGTGAGTTTTCGTTAACACGCGAATCTCATAAGGTAGATCGTGTCTGCGTCAACATACGTCTACGTTACGTCGTTGACTAACTGCGCTTTTAGCAGCTTTGTTGCGATTTTTAGCTGAAGGATCCTATCAAAGATCAGTCGGGAACGATTCTAGCATAAGTGTAGCTAGAAGCACGGTGTCAACGATTTTAGATTGTGTGCTTAAGGTTATGGAGCGGTTCATTTGCCTTCAGTGGGTGAAACTAGAAATGGACGGCACCGAAAAACACAGATGAAGAGACTATTTTTACTTAAAGTACAAAATTCCCTCAATGATTGGTTGCATCGGCGGGACACACATAAAAATCATCAAGCCGAGTATGGACGAACATTTGTTTTATAATCGAAAGGGATATTTCAGTAGGAATGCCATGATTGTAAGTAATCATGAATCTTCATTTTACTCGTACATTGCCTTGTAAAACTGATTTATATATATGTAAGTACATTTTTATTTAGATTTGTGATGGTGACATGAAAATTCGAGCGGTCGATGCACGCTATCCCGGCTCTAGCCATGACTCATTCGTATGGAACGTTAGTAGCGCCAGACAATATTTCCTCAGGAAGTATGAGTCAGGTGACCGGACATCAAAGTTATTAACAGATTGTTAATATGGCATAGAACCTTTTTTATTAACACCATACAGAGATCCACGCTACAACTCTAAAGAATATAATTTCAATTTGGCCCATCCATCTTCTCGAAATATTTTGGAGCGAACAATAGGTGTGCTGAAAAGCCGATTTCGCTGATTATTGAGCACCTTGCACTATCGGCCAGAAAAAGTGGTGAAAATTTCAAATGTTTGCTGTGCGCTGCACAATATCTGCAGAGACTACAACGTGGTATATAACGACGACAGTATTACTTTACCATCAAATGATACTGAGGAAAATGTTGAACCCCCACCGAACGCAACACTGCAAAGTGAAGGTAAAAAGATGAGGGATGAAATAGCCAACAGTTTATAGCAAACAAACTGAATAAAAATTCAAATATTTATTTATTAAAAAACAAAAAACACATATTTATTCATTAATTTAAAAAACACGCATATATATTCATTAAAACAAAACAAAAATTCATTTAATAAGTAAATACATTTTTCTAAAACTTTTTGGGTACTATAACGAACACAACCAACACTTTTTTGACATTTTTTAAAATGGGAAATTACTTTTATTTCTGTTTTTCGTAATCAAACTTTAGGAGTTCGAGCTCGAGTTGCTTTTTTTTTATTTCGTTTTTTTCCTGTATCGCTCGCAAAACACCTGTATTAATACGGACAAATTCATCCTTGAGCTCAGTTTCTGCATTCGCGACAGATTCGTTGCTTTTTTCTATTGCTCTATACACTCGTCTGAGGCTGCTGGCATTTTCTTTTTCAATCTTAATTAGCTCGTCCAATCTTTCATTTATTTCGAGCTTTCTCTCGTTGTCTTCATCGAGAAATTTTTTCAAACGCTCCCCAGTACTATCTGTCCTTTGTCTTTTAGGAGTGCTGCTGACTGGAGACATTGACCGCTTCGATGATGTTCATGGCATTTCATCCTCACTTGCACAAACTAAATCTTCGCTGAGGCCAACTGCATTGCCAGCCACACCAACCACAGACTGTGCAATGCCACATATGCGCACTATTGTCTCTTCCGTTTGCGTTAGTTAGTGCTTAGAAAAGGGTCCTCCACCAGTTGCTCGAGACTCGCTTTTGTTTTGTACGAGCTTTCTTTTTATGTCACTTTTCCATTCCGTCCACGTCTATACATATGTATATAAAAAACAGTGTAATTTAAAGACACGATTTAATTTATAGCACCAATTATGCTTTACCTTTTTCCATCCATTGGTATCCTTTTGTGGTGGACCTGCACTGTTCAGCGACTCAACTAA